TACCAACATTGGCCTTTTTAAAAACTGGTAGCTTTTTTCCTGGTCTTTTTTTTTTGCATCCTCCTAGTGATAATTTTATTTGTTTTTTTACTGTGTATCATTGTAATTGATAACGGATAATAATAAGATAATGATTTTCTATTTTCTTTTTTCTTACATTGGTGGCGTTCTTGTGTTTATGGGTATTTTGTTTATTTATTTTATTTTTTTATCCTAACTGATAAAAATTTATTTATTGAATTTTAGATATTTAGAATTTGCTTCTATATGTGATTTAAATTCTGAATTAGAATTATGTTTTATAAAATCTTGTAAATAATGATAAATTTTAATTATATGAATGAATTTTTGACATTTGGAAATTGCCTGTTCTTGTGATTAGGATTTTTATAATTTTTTTTTGTAAATAGTAATTATGGATAACTGATAAATTTTGTATATATAATGATATTCTTAATTTTAATCGGCTGGTTTTTTGTTTCTTTTTCTATGAATGTCTTTTTATTGTGCAAGTTTGTGTTTTATTTTTTACTCTGAATATTTTGTATTATCAAATCTGTTACACCATTGCAATAAAACGAGTTATGAGTATGAGTATCCCTTTGCTATACTATTACTATTGAAATTGTCCCCAATAGTCAACCTCCCCCCACCCCAATAAAAAATGCAAATTACGGTAAATAAAATAAATGTTTGTTTTGATGAAATGAGGAATCGAATAGGAAGGAGTTCCAAGGCGAATATAACGAGGAATAGGCTAGTTCAAATCATCTGAAGCCTGTGAAGCATTTTTAAAATTTTCCCAATAAAATTGTTTCTATTATTACTATTTATAGACACGTCATATCGGTATTTCAGTATGATTTTCATAATGTGTAATTAACATTCTTCATGCTATCGATCATGATGTTTATTCAATTGTTGGTTTATTTAAACCGATATGACACTCTGTATCGTACAAGTTGTATCCACTTTGATTAGCATTTTTTCGGAAGGCATTATATGGGATTAGACAATTAAAAAAAAATCAAACTTTTTCTCCCAGGAAGTAAAGCCGCAATTTTTTTCGAGGACCCTCAGGTTCTGGACCCACAACCGGGGGCCCTTATTGGGCTCATCCAACGTTTAAACAGTGGTGCCTCCTATGATATAAAATAATTATAATTATAAAATATTATTGTGGAAAGTAATCGAAGTTAGGCTGCATTCACATTGGATCTGAACGAAACTCGGACCACGTTTCCGATGCGCTGAACGCCAGCGTCCCCATTCTTACATACTAATCCGACTTCTGATCGGTTTGCAAATAATAATTATAATGTTATGTGGTTACCACACAAATGATAATTATAATATTGTGTGGTGTGTTTTTTGGAATGACAGTCAACTGAACACGTTTTGGAAATCTTTCGTAAAGTATTAGGGTTTTATTCTCGGGCATCTAAAGCGTTATATTCTTAAACTTTTCTGATCTTAAACTATCAGAAATGTTGAATACCCACACAAAATCCATGCATCCGCCCATAACTATAAATCTGCATATGAACAAGACATGTGACCACAATGTGAATACTAAAATAGTATCTCTTCATCATCATATATTTTCATTAAATTAGGAAAAGGCCTTGTTTGCAAGATGTTCAGATTGCCTAGTCTACTGTTAAAGTAGTGCTTCCAATCAAAAAAGGGGCGTGACGATTATTTTTCATACTAGGCTAATTTCTATATGAATGGGACTTGTGATTAAAGTGAGATTTCTGAAATTTGATACCCTTTATTATATGTGTTCTGTTATAAAAGAAAAACCCTTTTTTGCAATATGTTCATATTGTCTAACCTGATAGAAGGGCGTGGTCATTCTAAAAAGGGTGTGGTCATGTTCTGTCTGTTTGTCCCGGCTACAGGTTTTGGCACACATCTAATGTTGTTAATAGTGTTCATATTAATCTATGTAAGTTAAGATATTCTCTCCTAAATTAAGAGCAGACAAGTCTTAGTGAATTCCTTGGCTAAGCAACGTGCTTTTTACGTTGGGGAAATCCCCTAAAAGAGTAAGCAACAGAGGGCAGCAATACTAAAACAATTGTGTGCTTGTAGAATGTTCGACTAAGCTGCAAAACCAGTAAAAAAAATATATAATATTTCTTCTTCTTTCGGACATTTGTTGTAGGCGCATAGAGATCTAGTATTATGCGCTTTATAAGTCTACAACCATACCATTACCAAATAGTTTAGAAGTGCAGTGTAGCTCAGTCCTAAATAAAGCTATGATTCAACAATTTTTTAAAAATCCAGTTAAACCTGTTTTTTTTTTTTTTGTTTTTTTTTTTT